GTATTTTTACAACATTATATAACTTCATGGTGGAAAACTCGGCGTGTGTGGCTGGTGAATAACAAAGGACAAAGCTAGCTAGTTTCCCATTAAGAAAATCATACCTACATCAACTCGTAATTAACTCACTCATCTTGAACCCTCGATAAGATATCAAGGAAGTTCCAGACAAGAAAGAATACTTTATATTGCTTGAAAATTTGTAAAATTTTTGTATGTAAATCATTGTGTGTAATAACTTATTGTAAATTGTATTGTTGTGTGTGTGTATTAATCTTTTTAGCAAATATCATGAATTGACTATATATTGGCTTTTACTTAACTGCTAAATCCAAAGTACAATTTAACTACTAAAGTTAAAGTATCATTTAGCTCGGTTTCAGACCATTCAAAATTGTAATATGTAACAGTCTTCAGAGCATCAATATCAATTCCAAAATGTCAGCCCCTCCCATCACAGTTTTTAAGGCTAAAGTCACCTGAACCATTGTTGACACTTGAACATTCAAAACATTTCCATAAACTTCTTTGTGGCTACAGAATCATTGTTTCCCTTCTTATATTCAAACAGCATTACATGCTGAATGTCTCTCGTTGTGTGCCATCACTATAAAGGATTAGAGTATACTAAGCTTTACACATTATGTAGGCTACACTAATGTGACGTTTAGGTGGTTTGTTTAACTATTATGCATGATGTATGTTTTTTTTGGGGGGGGATAATGAAAGTGTTCCAAAAGGCGACATTAATTTCTTGATGACCTAATACTTTGTAGTAGATATCTTGTTAACTATTGTCATTTTGACCTGAAAATACCACTCTTCTAAGTTTGATTTGTTATTTGAATATATATCATTTACCTTCCTCAAGTACAGGTCAGTAATTATTATAGGTTTTAATTCATGTTTGCTCAACATTTTTTCTGTCCTAACTAGTTGTTCATGAAGTAAAAAACAATTCGATTCATAAGATTTTATTAGAAAAATAAAAATGTTACATATGTTTAGAAAAATATGGTGTTGATATCAATAAGATTATCATATCTTTAGTAATTAATACATACAGAAGTATTAGCATTTAAAATGTTATTCAAACTATTGCTTTCTTGGTGACGTATAAAACCCACAAAGTAATATGATTTTCGTAATCTTTGTCACTTATTATAGCTTCCACTTGAGTTACCAATTATTTTTAACAAAAGATGCACAATGACAGTGCAATTTTTTAATTTAACGAAACAAACGTTTAAGATGTTTCACTCAATGTTTAAAAGATTGTATAAAACATACAATAATGGGAATAGATAAAAACGTGTTTTCAGGTGTTTAATCAATCTAGCAGAACATTAAATTTTGCAAATCAAACATTACATGTAACAAGATTTAGCAACATTTCATACTATCTGGCTCAAAACAATTGCTGTGAAATTATTTCAATTACACATGAGCAAGAAGTTACTAGTGATAAAGCTTCAGCATTTAAGGCAAAGAGATCAAGTGCTACGTTACTTTTGTTTTTGGCTCCTTTTTTTTTATTTTTGCAAAATGTGTAGAATCAGTCTTGCCATAGAATGGTAGATAAAGTCTTTAGACTTTCTAAAAACCGGCAGTGGTTTGTCTAAAAGGAAGTAAAAGAAAATGTTTTCAATGAAAGCAGAGAAAAGAAATGCCTCAACCATAACTGTGTTTAGAGAAAAACAGTACAAGTGGCTTTGCAAGTAAATGTTTATATTAAACTTTATGGATATATGTTGATCAAAGATTGGAAACATAAACATAGCTTTTCATATATTTAAACATGCAAACCTTTGTTTCAAAATTACTAATTCTGAAGGGATCAAATGCCACCAGCTATATTCCAATTAGTATATCCCACTGAAGTAACTATAATAAGTTTTATTTCATCATGTTTACTAACTAAATCTATGAAAAATTAAAACAACTGATTAGAAAATAGTGTTTTATGACTGGGTTATAAACAATAATTTACTTATTTTTGCTATTAAGTTTCAAACAATTATCTATATTTGTAGGAGAACCTTTCCCACCATTTTGAGGAAGCAAAAGTATAAAATAAAGTATGAACCTGTTAAAAAATTTAACACTTAGGCATTGTCAAGTTATTTGAATGGAATTGTTTCCATTAAACCACTGAGTTGAAACAAAATAATTTCATCTGGGTTAATTTTAACCAATCAAAATTCAAATTCATGATGACAGAAAACAAACAGTTAAATTTTAAGTTAAAAAATACACAAGAAGACTTAAAACTTTCATTTTAAAAGAACATGACATGGCTGTATCTTTCAGTATAACATTAAAATTTTGAAATCTGAATTTCTAGACACAGCATTGTCTTATTTGGGCAGTTTATCACGTTAACCTGACTTATCAATCTTGAATGTCATAAATTCTGTTTTAGTTACTAAAGCAGTTATTTTATGTATATTTTATACAAATGCTTTGTCTAAAAATTCATTTCAAGTAAATTTTAAAAATATAAACAAAATAAATATATCTATTCACTTTTAAATAATATTTTCTAAAGTATATTCTTCTATATGATTCAATTATCAAAACTGATTGCAGAAGCTAGGAAACACTTTAAAAAAATTCTAATAAACATCAAACACAATAGCCCTCTGGAACAATATACATCTTAAATTATTTGCTATTAATTCTGTCATTTACATTTTTCTTCCTTTAAGGTAAGCCCATTATGTCTAGCAAAGCATTGACTTTTTCATTTAGCCAAGCAACTTGTTTATGTTTCAATCCAGTAACCCAATCCCTTGGAAGATAGGAAAATCCTACTTTACATCCAAGAAAAGCACCAGTAATGAAACCATTTATGCTTGCATGCCCTCCCTCCATAATTACTTGGCTAACTGCTGACCTAGGGAGATAAAAAACATGATTAAGATTTATATATACTATACTACAGTATTTTCTTAATTATTTGATTTACTTCTGAAGTATGATAAAAATAAATTAATGTGGATTATGAAGTTATTATAAAAACTTGTACTTTATTTCTATTTGAAATTGTGAAGGTTAAAATATCTGCTTAAAAAACATGTTCTTATGCCCTGTATTTGATGTGTGTGTGTTAGTAACACAGTGATTAGCAGATTCTTCACCCAAGAAAGACAATACTATTCCAGTTTTGTATGAACATTTTCAACTTATAATTATGGATAGTAAAAGGAGAATTATAAATGTTGATTCTATAATTCTTGATAATCTACTTATAGTAATCCCTAATGTTTGTGTTATTACCAAAGTTTGTTCAGTGCAAAACTAGAAAGGTTTGTGCAAATTGCTATTTATAAATGCATTCAATGAAATTGTAAAAAATCCTCTAACAACATGATGAACAAAGGTTTAATCAGAAATGTTAAGCATTATTAATAAGGTAATAACTATAATTCTACACAGTATTAAATTACAATGTGATTAACAAAGGGTTTTATTCAGAAGTGTTATTCATGATGTCAGAAAAACACGTAGGTTCAAGAAGTCTTGATACTGTTCAACCTATTGGGATTAATCTAGATCCTGGAATCAATGATCTCCAATCAATAGTTTCATTTCTGTCAGAAAAATAATTTTTATACTTTACTTATTTCTTTCATGTAGTATGAACCCTAACTTTCCCGAAACTTGCTATTTATTTATTTATCGTATAAATTGGTTAGCTTAACATCTCTTTTTCAATCAGTTTCCAGGTGCCACCTTTATTTTACTTAAGTATAGTTTATATATATATATTTTTAGCCAATTCTAAAGCAAAATATCCCTAACAGCTTTTTACGTAACGCTCCTGTCACCAGCTACATTTTACCAGAAATGAGACACGACAATACATGGAAAAATATAGTAAACCTTCGTGACGTCACTCAACTCCTTTTATGTATTACTCATTCAATCACACTACCATTCCCAGTTTACCCATGAAGAAGAAAGCTCCACCTTTTGAAAGCCCTCAGGTTATAGGGTTTTTATCATTTTGAATCAGAAGTGTTAAGCATTGTTCGTAAGGTAATAGGTAGCATTCCACACAGTATTGAATAACTAATATCTAATATTGTAGGTTTTTTGAAACCTTTTAGGTTCAATGGAAAGCTTCAAACATTATTTCTGTGTGGGTTAAGAGATTTTTTTTTTAAGTTCAAGTGAATATATATCATTAGAAATAAAATTATCAATCCTTTTTAATATGGAATAACTGCATGTCTTATGATGAGAACTAGATAAACAATACTGTTAAACAAAATAAAAAGGATTTAGAATTTAAAAATATATCAAAACTCCTGATTTATGTTGATTTTTGAAAACTTTTACGCTAACTCTTACACCTACAATAAATACCTGAAATTCATAAACAATTACTTGTAATGGATATTATATCTGATTTGCACATGCTCTTTTATATGTAAATGAATGGTCAAGCCCTCTAAACTCTATTACATTAATAAACAGACCAAACCAGAAAATTTCATACAAGCACAATGTTTTTAGAATGGTACAAAATTTTAATAATCTATTGTAATAATACTCAGTTTTAGTCCGTCGCGAAAATGTGTTTGCACTTCATTTCAATCGGTGTAAAAAAAAGAATATGCAAATATATGTTAGTTGACATTCTGTTCAACAACATATTAAAAACTTATCAATGTTTTTAAAAAAAGTTTAATATCATGTTGTAGAATAACATTATAAGTTTACTTACTGATAGTATTCAGTATGGTATAATGTAGCCCTAACCAAACTAAGGCAAAAAAACAAACACAAGTTACAGTGTTAATTTATCTCTTTATCAAATATGGGCCATACTTAATAAAAGCTTAAATTATATCAGGCCTAAGATAAGTGGACTTATAGATTTTGGTTTATGCAATTAGAATACTTTAGTATTATTCTAAAAATCCTGTATTTAAAGAAGTACTGTTGCAATAATTTGACCCCACATGTTTTGCAGGTCTGTGTTAGTGTACAATATTAAAAAGGACTGGAAAAAAATGTTAAGCCAATTTCCAACTCATTGCAAGGCCATCTAATATTGTGATACTTGTGTTAAAATGTTATTTATAAGTACTAAGATAAATTGTACTATTTTCACCAAATTTTTTTATATGTTACACATACTGTTTCTGACAATTTAGAAGATTTCAGAAATGTTTTTATATCAGTCCAAGTTTACACCAGAAGAATCTTAGTGTGTGATGGTTAAAAGTATAAAGCTAGTTTTCCTTAAATGGAAAATGTAACATTAAAATGTACAAAACTATTAAGCAAGCTTACTTGAAATCCTGGTGTGAACGTAATGATACCAGTCCAGCTGCTAAAGGTTTGAAAGCATAGTTCTGTTTTCCACTCTCATTCAGCTGCACACTTTAAAGAAACAAAATACAAAAAAAATACTTCTGATCATAATGACTATATGTTAGATTTCTGACCAGTTTCAATTATTACTAAACATAACAGCAATTACAGAGAACCATGAAAATATATGCCACTTGGACACACAACATACTTACAAAATAGCCACATTCTTACAATTTTTTTCATGCATCATACCGTAAAAATATCTATAATATTTGCAATTCCTATTGATCTATTATATAAACTAATTTTTTACTTTTTTTTTATATACATTTCCTATTTAAACTTTCAGAGGAAGCTTCTCTGATTAAGAATGTTGCAACTAATGTGCAAAACACCTGCATGGAAATTTACAAAAATTATCTGAATATCAAGATATATCCTGTACTAGTTATGGAAGAATGAAATTAGTAGTTATTTTATGCTAGTGTTTAATAATTGTTGATTATATACATAACGTGTACTTTGTATGTATTTATAGTTACTGTGTATTAGGTATATTTGGTTATATATTGTTGACATTTTGTAATATAATTGGTTATATATTGTTGACATTTTGTAATATATTTGGTTATGTTATGAATATGTAAGTAATGGTATGTAGCTAGCAAAACTGAAATATATATTGTTTTTTATTTGGTAAATTTGGTATATGTTCTCATTATTTAATTAATATTTGAAACCATCAGTACTTGGGAAAACTCCATAATTAAAGAACTGAGAAACAGACAATAATAAATGAAATACTTGCAAAGCATACAATTGTGTTTGCTTTCTTGAATTCTGTAATGGTAATTATTGTTCTTTGCCTGTTGCTACCTGGTAGTTATTGATTTTCATCTGTTGATTTTGTGTTTCTGTCAAGCATTTGTCAGTACAGTATGTTTCAATAATATATGTATTCTGTGTAATATTGGTACAGAGAGAGAGAAATGTTTTTTTTAAAAGCACTGCCATATTATAATATACAATACTTTTGTAAACTTTGTTTTAGCTCAAATAGTCATGTTCCACCATGGGATTCTTAGGTCCCCTCATGATTCACAGAGTCCTTAATGTACCAGTCAAGCACCTCCATTATTTTAATTATTTTTATAGCTACCCCAACGGGCCAATTCTTTAACTGATTTGGTTTTTGAATTTCGCGCAAAGCTATACGAGGGCTATCTGCGCTAGCCATCCCTAATTTAGCAGTGTAAGACTAGAGGGAAGGCAGCTAGTCATCACCACCTACCGCCAACTCTTGGGCTATACTTTTACCAATGAATAGTGGGATTGACTGTCACATTATAATGCCCCCATGGCTGAAAGGGTGAGCATGTTTGATGTGACGGGGATTTGAACCCACAACCCGCAGATTGCAAGTCGAGCGCCCTAACCACCTGGCCATGCCGGGCCGATCTTAATTGATTTGTCTGTTGCCATTTCCCAGACTTTATTCAACTCTTTTTAAAAACAAACAGTTTTAATTTAGCTTCTCAGATACGTTTTTTTTTTATACTTCCTGTGTTTTATTTGAATTATTTTCATTCTCCAAATTCCCCAATATTATCTGATTCATATTTTTCTTCCTGTTATATATTGCCATTTCCCAAACTTAGTTTAATTCAACTTTTTTTAAATTCTCAGATTTGTATTATTCTTCCTGTGTTTGTGTTGAAAAAAAAGTGTGTATCTGGCAGCAAACCTTCACATATTGTTCATTCCGTAAGTGAGAATTAGAAAAAAAAACATGATACTTTTCTATAGACTTTCAGGAAGTAGAATTATGGGGCTTAAGGGCAAAAAAAATTGACCAAATTGTTTTTGAGTAAAATCTAAAAAATAATATCCAAGATCACACCCAAAAAATCCCCTTAGCATTGGTGCAAAGTTTCAGGTCTCTAGGTTCTTTCCCCTTGGAGATATGGAGTCACATACACAAACAGACATGCTCTTATATTATTATATGGACAACATTTGTTTTCCAATACATGCCAGTTAAATATCAAATATTTCTATATAAATACATAGTATATATTGCTGAAAACATTTTTTACACTGAAAATAATGATGTCAATTTTAATTTTTTTAGTTCTATGAAAGATTAGCATCCTTTGTTTACAACTTGTATGTAGCAGTACAGTACTTGGTTTATAATAAAATTTATACCACTTCAACATGTACTCTTCCACCTGCGAGGTATCTCAAAATATTCTCAATGACAGTTTAATTTTACATCTCTGGTAACTTACCAAAACTTAATCTTATTTTTGTTCATGAATACAATTGTATGTACATGTAGTTAGTATAGTTTTTATCTTAATATTTAGTGTTTAAAACTGAGCACGCTGTTTTTAGTGTACTTACCTATGGTTTGCTCCTGAAGAAGAAAGGACCACCTTTTGAAAGCACTTGGGTTATAGGGTTTTTATCATTTTGTACCTAAAGTTTATCATTTAAGATTAAATTAAGTACAGTCTACTCCAATATACTGAAAATAGTCCCTTACCTCTTTAATGTAAAACAGCTAAAATATTTTCTAAGCTCATCTCTGTGTTCTGAACTGTTTAAATGGATGATACTTGTGTCTCGTACTTTTGCAATCATTTCTTCAAGTGAGGAGGTTTTCATCAAATCATATTGGCCCTTTAATAGTAATACAATATAAGAAACAAAGAATGTTTGACAGAGTGAGACCTTGCAGAAAATGTTACTGTAGCTAAACATACATCATGATTTATCATAGTACATGGCACATCAATAAAGCATAAAACACCAAACACAGTAAAAAATGCTTTAAAACTGGAAAACTAATGAAAAAAACTAAAGACACCAGAAATCAAATTTGACTACTGGTGGTATCCATATATTGTATTATATATATAGAAAAATTTTCTGTTTTTGCTTTTTATAAAACTCATTTTTAGACTTTGTTTGTAGTTAATCACAAAGCTACACAAAGGGCTATGCTCTTCCCACCGCAGGTATCGACACCTGGTTTCTAGCATTGTAAGTCTGCAAACATACCAAAACTCATTTTAAAGATCAAGGCAAAATAACAGAGTAACATCACTTATTTTTTTGTGTAGGGGACACAAATTAATTGTTACAAGCAAAGAATGATAGTCCCATTTCTGTAACTGTTTTTGACAAATCTACAATACACTTTAGTATAATTTTCTTTCGAGTTTTTCTTATCCTGACATCCAACTACAATCCTTTTGTGTAATTAACCTATCAGATTTTGAAAGTAATTTTTCTAAATTGCTTTTGAGTCCATGACTGTTGGTTACACTGTCCCTAATAACATACAAATCACTTTTTTTTTTAATATTGTCACTATTGCAGTTAATACCTCTAATCTACTGTCAGTGATACGAATGCTTGCTTAAGATTATTTTAAATGGTTTAGTAGAGAATTAAACACATTTTCTTCACTTAACTTCACAGACAGAAGACTGTACTAATTTTCTGAATTTAACAGGATAACATATCCAAGTTCAAATAAGGGCTTACTTTCAGATCTAAGATATAACTATATTATACTTACTGATACTTATATACATATTCTATAAACTAGTTAAAGACAAATATGCATGTATAACAATGAAAATAGCTCTCAGTGTCATCAACCATTGGAAAATACCTTTTTGAGAAATCACAGAAAATACATGTAATTTGCACTATTACCATCATATGTGTATACCATCAGATATAAAGGTTGTGTTTTATCAGAATATAAGTAAGAGCTACTAAACTACTGAGTAGAAGGATAAAGAAAAATCTAGTGGTCTCCACCAGATCAATATATATAATGAGTTAAGATTCACAATATTCGGGAAGGAGTTTATAGGAAGTGACTGAATTCTTTCAATAATATCTACAGACAGAGTTACTCTGTTAATGAACATTTGGGTAAAAGAAAACTGTCATTTTAAGGATATCTGTTGTTAGTTATTACAGGCAATATTCACCACAATAATAATTTTATCAGGGAACTGTTTGGTAAGAACTTCTGGCAGAGTTTACTAATAGTAGTGTTTAGCTCACAGGTTACTTCTATATTCTTCTAAGTTGAACTACTAAGCTGGACTTTCATCAACTAGTTTTAAAACCTTGATTTTTTACAATTCTGTGAATCAACTAATCTATAGAACTACTTCCAAATATATTTTTAGTAAAACTTATGAATGAATTTACCATATTTTCTTTCACATATTTCCCCCTTACATTCTTAAAAAATTTATTGGGAATAAAAATAATTCTCAACAAACAAGGCTGATAATTTTTTTTTGTAACCAAACATACATTAGAAAAATTAAACTTTATAGACTCTAGAAAGTTAAATTATTGTTATCTATCTAAACAAATGAAAAAGTAAATCAATTTGATCAAACCAAAAAGATGGATATAATATTTCACACAAAAAAAATTCTTTTTTAACAGCACTTATTTACTTGAATAATAAAGTAATTTGCTCTATAAAATTATGAGTTTATTGGTTTTATGAGTATGTTAGTTTGGCAACAATACTATTTTCCAACTGAAAAATATAGAGAAGTGTTTCTGATAGTTGGTGAGTGAAAGTAGAAGATGCGGTAGCACAACCACTAATGGAAATGAATACAAAATTCATTACTTACTAGTAGAGATCCACAAAACGTTTACTGTCAAATTAGTATCTTCATTGCAACAGCATTTCTTTAAATACAAGATTTGTAGAATAATACAAACAAAATGTAATTGTATACACTGAAATGTGCAAGTCCACTTGTATTTAGGCTGTACTATATAGAACCTTAACTAATGTTAAGCCTAAGTTTGATAAAGAGAAAAATCAAATGAACTGTGTACGTTTTTTACATTAGCTAAGTTAGGACTAAACTATACTGTACTTAATACTATCTATAAATAAACTTGTATTGTTATTCTAGGACCTAATATCAGACCTTTTTGGTAACTTCATGCTTTTAATGTTATTGTACTAAATGGTTAACAAAGAATATTTACATCTACCTGTTTTTTTTATTCATTCATTCATGAAGCAGTTGTAGTTACTTGTTCATTGAGCTTCCCAGCTCTCTGGTACAGGCAGGCACTTGCATTGTTTTTCTGGGTAAAATTCTTACTGCACATGCTTATAAGGTGTCTGTGCTTAGAATTATTTTGTATTATTCTACAAATCTTGTATTTAAAGAATTAATGTTGCAATAAAGAGACTAATCTGAGCACAAATGTCTTGAGGGTTTCTACTAGTGTATTATATGAATACTCAGTATAGTCTGTTATGATAATACATGCACACCTTACTATCTAAGTATGCATGTGCGCACATCATTTCTGTAACACACACAAACAAGTATATTATTATGTAGATATCACAATATGTGAGCATATAAATCTATGGTACACATCTATCACAAGACAAATACAATTACAAATAAAAAGAAAAAAGACTGACAGGGAAACATGTAAATTACAAAACAGCAGATACAGAATTGTTAATTTTACCCACTAACACTTCAGGTGAAATTAAAATTTGAAGGAACAGCTAAATGAATAACAAAACAAAACATTAATACAGATTTAAAATAATATGTCAGATAGATACTACAGTAACTATAGGAAAAGAAGTGAGTAAAAGAATGATCTTCTTTAAAGGATAGTGGAATAGAAAACATGAATGTTGTAGTTTCCATAACATCCCATACATGAACATTATGGGGTAAATCAGATGGTGAATTCCATTTAGCAGGTGAAGAGATAAACTAACACAAATATGAAACTGAAACCTACACACTGATTTGTGGTAAGTTTTGTAAGCCAACTACTTTGAAGTGCATCATACATTCTATATGCAAGTGAAATGAGCTTTAACCACTTAACCCTCTCGCTATGGGTGGGTCAAAAGTGTGTAGGTGAAGACTTTTTAAGAGAGTTACATTCAAAATTCATTTAAAATCCTTTATCATCATTGTATATGAATAACTTTGGCATCAAAACATATTTAACTAGAAGGTCACTCAGTAAAGTGTATACCTCCGTCACGCAGCATTGATCATATCGGGTCTCAAAAATAAAGAAAATATGTCTGTATGTCAGTCATTATCAATGGACACAGACCACTTTTGGCAATATTATACAAGTTTTAAATTCTTAATTTTATGAAGAAATATTTAAAAAAATCCTAAGTCTCCCCTAGAACGGTAATTGTGATATTTGTTCTCTAGGTCTTCTATCTTAACTTAATTACCACCCCTCTGAGAAGTACATAATTTAATGCAAGTTACTCATTATAATATAAATGTTACTAAGTCAAAGTAGAATTTTTATAGCCTTCAATTTTATTTGTTTACAGAGTTATAATCCAGAAAATCAGACACACTTGCAACATCCACCTGTCACATATTCTCTTTCACAAATTGCTAATAGTTTTCTCTGATGTTTTATACTATATTATTTATAACTACTAGAAAGCCAAAACTTTAATCCATCAAATGACATATTATATTACATTGTTTTCTGTACAATGCTTTGTATATTTTGCTTTCAATTTGAAACTTTTTCTCATGGTATTCACATTGACACGCTTGGCTGAGTTTTTAAAGGCTCTTATTGCATAGTTAGAAAGCCTGATAAATTATGGTAGTCATAGGACATTGTTTGCTTTGTGAATGTTATTATTCTATTTTCTTAGGTGCATTATTTAATTAAATAAAAAGTATTTAGTGTAGTAGTACCACTAGTATAAAAAAGTAGGCTTAAATTTCATCAACAGTAGACAGCAAGAAAACAAGGACTTAGGTAAGTACTATATTTCTTATTTTTCATGTATATTCTTTATTTATTATCATAAAAGTAACTAAAATGTAAAGTTAGAAACTTGTTAGGTTGGATTAGGTAAGATAATGAAAAATAATAATAATAATAAAAATTCTTCACGAGATATGCTTGTAAGTGGCTCATGTGTCACGTAATTTGATACGATAATGTGAGCTACACATCCGTTGGGCAATTTACAACTTGTGTGGCTGGATTATTAGTATACACAAAACAATAAAAGGCAATAAAACAATAAAATTAAGTACAAACAGATGTATACATTTAGAAGCTTTAAGCTATTTAGGATAAATAATTGTAGTTTCATGTTACAATTTGCAGTCTTCTAGAAAAAAAAAGCTTAATTTAGATTTATTTCATATATTTCATAGAGTTAAAGTATAGAAAACTAACAGAAAAAAGTTTTACTGAAAAAAAAACGTTTGATATTTATTTAGGAGGTTTTACAGATTATATAAATGAAACTTCAGAATTTTCAGATAAAGTATTTTGAATTTTAACATGAAAATCATTTTGCACTTGCAGCAGTCAACACTCTGACTCCATATATTCACAGACAAATCTTTAGTAAAAATACTTAATTAAAAAATCTTATTTTTGTGTACAAAGACTTTTAATGTTTACTGAAAGCTTGCCAAATTTCATGAGATACACAAAACATATTAAAAGTTACAGTATGGAAACTCGGATAGTCACTTGGAGGTCACAAATTTGGTCAAATCGACCTATCCTGTAGCAAGAGTTATTTTTAAATATACCAAAAACTATGCATTATTAAGTTTTGTAAAATTAACAGATACATTGCTTAAAAGTCAGATTCCTATAAAAGCTTTTCATAAATCTAATAAATACTATCATCATTTTTCCAGTTTCTGTCCATAACATTTAAAAATCAAAAACAAAAATATTCTACTTTATCATGGCTTCAGACTTCATTCTTTCAATTTAAAGGGAATGTGGATACTCACAAAAAATCTAAGTTTAATCAAACAATTATAGCAATTTATCAAAATAATAAAAAGGAAAATCTAATTAACAAGTTAAAAAAAAACTTTTACCAAAAAGTTTTTTATATGAGGAAAAACTTGAATGTTCTGTCTATGTCAGTCTATTGTATTTGTTTTCAATCACCCAATGGTTGAAATTAACCTTGTTTCAAGTTTAGGTGATAAAGTTGTTGTTTCTTCCTTTTGTCCCATGTTAACCCTTTCGAGACTGTTTGGTTTAAATATTAGTGATTAATTTATATTTGTGAGTGAATACTTTATTATTTTTAAGTTTTGTCATAATAAGAGTTAAAAGCAGATGATTGTAGAATGTTTTATTAATAACTAATTGGTGTTGAGAATATAGAAAGTGGCCAGATGACTATGTAATAAAGATATAAATAGCGTGAGACAAGCGGGAAGCAGCAGACAGACAACAATAGACAGATAATTGAACTTGGTACCATTTCTTTCCTTTGAACTAATATTTCAACGAGGTAGGGTGTGTCTTTAGTCTGCTCGAAATTTCATATTTTTTTTAAACTAAAATACCTCTTAGTTACTAAGCTAGATAAATTATAGTGGAATTCTATGGTATTAATGTAGTCATATATGCTTTTTTATTTATTCAAAAGTACATATAAAACCTAAACAAAAAT